TAGATGTCTCAATCAAATTCCCAGAAACTGTGATGTCATTGGATTTTATCAAATGACTTTTTTTTTTGTCTGCACATATACATTGTACTAAAGTGGTCTGTAATCCAATGGACCATGTATATTAAGCTAGAAACAGAAATCAATATCAAACCAGATTAAGAAATGAAGGAACATAATATTTCACAATTGTTGTGTTAGTCTTGATAATCTCCACTGTTTTTTTTGAAAGAGGAAGAAAGGTGATTGGTTCCTCCTAAGGCTTGTGATTTTCACGCTGTCACAATAATGGAAACAACAATAAAAATGATTGAATTACTGTTTATGTGAATCCATCACATCAGTTGGATAGATATAAAAGCACCATGAAAAGCAGCCATGTAGTGCTGCACAAAGGGAAATGTAAAGAAAACTTACATTTATTCCACCTATACAGTTGAAACTCGAATAATTAGAATATCGTGCAAAAGTAATTGCAGTAAGTGCTGCAAAAGGGGCCCAAACCAAGTACTGAGTACATATGCATGCTTGTACTTTTCAGAGGTCCGATATTGTTCTATGTACAACCCTTGTTTTATTGATTGCATGTAATATTCTCATTTTTTGAGGTTGTGGATTTGGGGTTCTTGGGGTTTTCATCAGCTGTACGCCATAATCATCACAATTATGACAAATCACGGCTTGAATTATCTTGCTTTGCATGTAATGAGTCTATCTCATATATTAGTTTCACCTTTTAAGTTGCATTAGTGAAATAAATGTACTTTGCACGATATTCTAATTATTCGAGTTTCACCTGTATGTATTCCATTGATGTTTGCTAGCTATGATTTGAAAACCAGCCATATGCTATAACGTAAAATAAAGCTTTACATTACATTTCTGAAGTCTCTTGCAGAGCAGCTGAGATTTTCGGAGTACCTGCATAGAGACATAGAGAACATAGAGAGCAGCAATTGGGTTATATGCATAAAGCTATATTCTGATCTGCCCCCTCTGAAGGCTTCTAACATTTTCAGGGAGAAGATTTTTAGACATTTGTGTGGATATTTGGTTTGGTTTGTGTGGATATTTGGAGACCAAATTTTTTAGAGATGTGGTTTGATAATAAGAGGCCTGGAGGCATTCATATTGCAGTAATATGCTCAAAGCAAACAGCACTGACCTGCCAAAAAACTGGTAATCCAGACAACAAGTGGGAAATACATAGGCAACGAATGTTTACTTGTGGCAATACATGGGTAACAAACATTTAGTCATGGAATACATGGCCAAACACATCATCTCTATAGGCAGCTGGAGGAGGAGATAGCACATACTGCAATTTTTCCCAGCTCTCTCCTCGCCAGATCGGTGTGATTGGAGTAACGATGGTTACCTCCCTCCTCCAGTCAATGTCTGAGCAGGAGGGATTTTCCAGCATGGAGATCCGGTATTCTTTCTGATCAGCTAGAGTCTCCAGTCAAAACCCAGGAAGTTCCCAGGTATAGGCATGACAGTCAACTAGCATTTTCAGAAGGTGATCATCTAAGACTCCTTACGTGCTCCTCTTATAGACGTTTCCTTTAAAAGGATTGGAAATCAGTAAGAATTGTGATGTGCCTTAGAATGAGCACACAACGCTCCTAATGTTGTCGCTTCTTCTCATGTGTGTATGACTTTTGAAGAAATATGGAAGCCATACATTATGCATTTTTTCCACAAACAAGGTTGTGTTTTTAATGTAAATAGTGCATAGCAAATTTTTATGATATATGAAGCAGGGAAATTCCAAATTATAAAATGTCCTAGCAATAAAACCCACTTAATGAGGGGTGTGCACTGTGTATTAATAACAGATTTATGCAAAATTAGCTTTCTATGCCCTTTGTAAGTCTTTGGTCACTTTCTTAAAAGAAAACTATGGCCAAACCTTTTTTGCCCGTAGTTCTCTTTAGGGTCACAGGAGGACATTTACTAATCTCCTGTGACCCAAAACTAAGCATATAACATATAACTACTGTGACCCAAAACAGAGCTACGCTGCAGCTGGGACGGATCCCGACATTTTTTTGGGATCCACCCTGCTACCTGATTGACAGCTGGCTCTACCTCTCTAGTCAGCTGTGCCCGCCCCCTTCCCTGTCTGTCTCTCCAGTCAGCGCTGGAGGAATGGAGAGGGGGAATACCTGCAGGGAGAAGATCGGGAGCTGAGCGATCAGCAGTATGTGATCGCTCAGTTCTCGATCAATAGAGCCAATGTGTGACAGCTTCAGTGTTATACGTCGGCTCTATTGGGATGAGTGTATTCACTCTCCCCATAATTCTCCTTTAATGTGCATCCATACCTAAAACATTTTTCTTCGTTTTAGATAGATAGGAAAACCCTGTCTGGTTTTACTGCTACTGGTGCTCCTTTGGAGATTTCCCCTCACTTTTTATTCTGGGGACAGCGCTGTACCAGACAGGAAGTGATGAAAAATCTGCAATAGGGAAGCAGACAACAATAAAACGTTGACAGGGGTTATAGCACTCCACCACTTGATTTAAAAGAAACATTTTCCCCCGGAAAGGTTAACTCTGCTCTATCTAGCAGGGCAAACCTTTCTGGGATGCCCTATCTTTTTTTTTTTTTTTACATTCTCCTACAAGTCCTCCTCTGCTGATTAACAGCAGCACTGGGCAGGTACAATAGCCAGCCTGCTATTGGCTATTGCAATTTGAAGTGGCCAATAGCAGCCTAGCTATTCATTACACTGCTATCTGTTAGCTGCTGGCCGCTGTCAGAATTCAAAAAAGAAAAAACAGCAGATAGCAGAGGGAACATTAGCTCTTCTATTATCTGATGATCCCCCTGCTATCTGCCATCATTTCAGGGAGGTGCCCTCTCCCCTACCCCCCGTATTACCACCCCGTTCCCTCGCAGATGGAGAGGGCACCTTCCTGAAATTAGTTTTTGCAGGTGGTGATGTCTGCATGTGTGTTGCTTCGTACTAATTATTACCATGCGTTTTTGAAAAAGGTAAATGCATGTCTTAGCTGCGGTAAGAAGGCCGTTTAAAAATAGGCTGCCCTTCCGCAACACACCACAATGCCCCCCTCCCGTAGCGCAGCTGCAGTGTCGCATTGCATGCGTGTGAATGGAATCTAGGGCCTCATTTACACTGAGCATTCTGGTATTCCGGCAGGCAGGATTAGATGCAACCGCTGTAACCGTTCAAGTTAATGAGACACCTGCCGCCTCTGTAAGTGGCAGTCCACATGTAATCATATATGATACAATTACACGCAGTTTTGGAATAGATGACTGTCTCTGGATGCAGGGTCCAGCAATGATCATCTATTCCAAACACATATGATTACATGAGGACTGCGGCTTACAGCCCTTATCAACCTTTGTAATTGCTTGCATAGCCTCCCAACACTAGGGTGCGCTGTTTTACGATTCCATGCTCTCTACTCTATAGAATACCGCGATATGCCTATTGTGTCCTCGTAACAGGATCCAATCCTCGCGCTAATGTGGTAAGCCGGAACAGATGTTTGTCTTCAACATAATGGACGGCAATATACCTTTCCATTGCAAGAACTGGAGACATTTCCTGGAGTTGTCATATGATCGCGCTGTCACTTGTGTTATGGAAACATTTGCCAGTAACCAGGAAGAGATGCTGCAAAGTGCGTTATTTATAGCTAAATCTGTTCAGATATCTGTCTTCATGAGTGCTTTCCGGTGTAATGAAGAAATGTAAACCTCTTCTCATATAATCCCTATAGGTAAGCTCGCCTCTTATTCCTTGTTCTCAGAAATCACAGTATGTTTACCTGGCATGAGACTGGAAATTGCCATCACATGTTTGTCATTATTCCACAGACTGATCATAAGCGGTCAATACTTTACAATATGTGGACTCAGTACAGATACAGCACTTTACCCCTCAGTCTAGAGTCCCCTCCATCCAGCACTGCAAAATCAGGTAAAGTTTTTCACTGTTTTACTGCTAGACCTTCAGTGTCCCTAAATTTACTTATTTACTGACTGGCAAAAAGTTTTATATATTTAATCTAAAAAATATTTTAAAAATCATCAAATTTTCACCTTGCTGTACAGATGGAGGTCTAGCCGCAAAAAACAAGAAAAGGGAATACAAAATATATAAACACATAGCAATCGATACAAAATCATTTCACTGATCTCCGTGCACTATACAGTACAGATAATTGCCCGCTCTTACTAGGGTTGCCACCTGTCCAGGATTCACCCGGACAGTCCGGGTTTTGAATGCTGTGTTCGGGTTTCATGGCATCAGAAACCTGGACACATGATGTCAAGCAGACAGGGACAACAAAAATTAAGATAGGGGCTACTGGCCCCCCACTAAAAACAGTCTTAACTGTGATATTTACATATTAATGGGCGGCGCTATGTACATATGAATAAGCTATGACTTATTCTCCCCAAAAAATGTCTGCGCATAGCTACAGTGTTCGGGTTTCGCTTGAAATAAAGGTGGCAACCCTAGCTCTTACCCTCATTTCTCTTTACACTACACTTTTGATTAGGGGAGCTAGTGTGTTATAAAGTGTTTAGTGTTGTTTTTTTTTTTTTTTTAATAAAAATAGCAAAAATAAATGGTGCAGCAAGCCCACCACATTCCCTATAAACAAATGCTACTTATCTAGCAGGGTTACCATACATCCCTTTTAATTGTTCACTCATTCACATCAGCCCTTCTGTATATTTGCGACCCCTGTGTGTGGAATCAGTGACAGAGAAGTCGAGGACAAAGTGTGCACTGTCGCTGAGACAGATTTTCACCCACACAGACCTAAGGTGCCCATACTCTGTTCGGATTTCGGACGGTGTTTGAGGAACTGGATGAAATTCGCACAGTGTGTACTGCTGCAGGCACCCTTTCAATCGGCATCCCTCAATTCGCTGACCGAAGGAGCCGAGCGGGAAATCTTTAACCCCTTCATGACTGAGGCCCTTTTTTCATTTTTTGCACCCATGTTATATTCCACATTTTAGGCCTGAAAATGACGTAAAACCCCCCAACATTATATATTTTCTGAATGCCAAGACCCTATAGAATAAAATGGTGGTAGTTGAAAAATAAGAGATGGTTGGGAGCCGGTTTTATTGTGTCACAGTGCTACTTCTGAAACAGCAGAGGGAGAAATGTATGAATAAAGCTGAACTCTTATAGTGAATCTGCCTCCTTGCTCCTGTTTAGCATTGCTCTGTCCTGTGACAGAATTAATAACTGTCCCCCTCTTTATCTTATGTCCTTCTTTTGCTATGACTGAATGTACACAATATCAATAAACTCATTTAAAGCCTTGTTCCCCACAGCTGAATCTGACACATGGCTGATGAGGGTTTGTCACTCAGGGATCGCCTGCCTTTGTTTCCTGATCGTGATTATCACCTTGCCTATTTCCATCTGGTTTTCCATAAAGGTAAAATATTGCTGAAATCCTTACCTCATCATTCTTTTTTTATATTGCATCGGCTGATTTCATTTTCTTTTAGCAGGCTTTTTTCCTTTTTTTTTTTTTTCACCTGCCAGTAACACATTTTCTGTTCTAGGGTGACGGCGCTTACTCAGAGTACTGTATCTACGAAAGTGCAGTGTTGTAAGACACTAGGACAGGACTACAGAACACAGTACCCTCTGCTCTTCTACAGAACACCTCTCCTTCTATAAAACATAGTGGGGAGGTGTTTTGTAGTCCACAGATCTAGTTGGAACAATGATAACTGACAACAGTTAGGGCAGGCAGAGAATGTTATTAGCTCACAAGATTTCTGGCAGGGCAGGCTTAAAGGATATTTATTTGCACTTATTAACCAGATATAACAAAACGTTTTCTATGGTATATTCAACAAACCGAAAGGGAGTAAATAAGAGAAGTTCTTTGTTAGGGTTTACATACACTTAAAAGCAGAACTGAAGCATACTTTGATTTTCCATATTAGGGAAGTGGACAGCTATAATGGGCTAAGCTCTGCTCCCTACTAACCGATTATTTAATTCCATCTACTAGATTTTTTACAAGAAGCCTGCAGGAGATGGAATAGACACCGTGCTGTATCTTTAGAAAAAAAAAAAAACTTCAGCTGTAAACTAGCAGGTCTCACAAATAATATGATTAGAATGAACTGTATGTGGACATGTATAAGGTATGACAATTTAATTCCTGGAATGGACTGTAAAAAAAAAAGTTTGCTTACCTATACAGTACACTAGCAGCTGTTGTCACTTTCAAAGTAGTCCCCTTGTGAAGTGACACACTTTTCTAGACGACTGTGCCACTGCTGGAAACATTTCTGGAATTTGTTTTCCGGAACACTAGCCAATTTTCATGCAAAATGTGATGTTAATCCGCTGCTCCAGAATCCTGTCACGCATTTAAAGCCAACAGCACAACGCACACGTGTTATTTCTTCTACTACTCCGTAAGGACTGAGTCAACTGGTCTGTGACCCAGGAGAGTGCATGTTAGAACATATCAGAGCATGCATGAGTGTGAATAGCTGTGTGACTATACCACCATAGTGCTATGCTGCGGGCTTTCCGGGAATTAAATTGTCTCACATCGTTGACTTCTAGAGTATCCCTTTTACCCAGCTTCAGACATAAACTTTGTTTCATTTGTGGGTGAATTTGGCAAAGGGTTGAAACTTCAGTTCGTTTTCTTTAGTTGTTTGTGTTGCCATTGGATGCAGCTTTCCTCAGCCCCCCTGGTACTCATACAAGATGGGAAGTCTCTACAATGGAGTAATAAGCACCAGATGAAACACCTTCTTAGTAGAGCAAAGAGGGATTAGAATCAATATTATGTTCTTATCGTCCTTCGCACCTTTTTGCTCCCTTTGGAGAAATTTCCTCTCACTTCTTTTCTACAGGACAGGATGTAAAGCAAGATTTCCTTAATGACAGCAGGTTTAAACATCACCTACTCTATCATATCCTTTCTCTCCAAAACGAAAAAAAAAAAGATGTTTTGGCTTTAGATATACCATACCATGAGATAAGACTGTATGTATAAGACTATGGGGTCTATTCACTAAGCTGTAGGCAGCCGAGTGACTAACTGACCCGAAGCGAAGCGAGCCGAACGCTGTTCGGCTATTCACTTCAGGCTTGTACAGCTGATTCCAGCCATATATCGGCTGAAATCAGCCGTACATCGGCTGTCTTCGGGTCGGCCAAACATGCTAGCTCGGTACCTCTGTGGTACAGAGCAGAATAGAAAAACAGTTCAAAAAGTAGAAAAAATCAAATAGAAAACGATTGGGCAGAGCTAGCAGTGACAGCTAGCTCTGCCCAACTGTTTTCTATTGGCCGGGCGGTTCTGCTGCCATTAAAATGAAAACAAAAAAAAACACCATAGGAATGCATAATTACATTCCTATTGGCTATTTCAATTTCCAATAGCAAATTAGCTATTGCACTCACCCTCTGCTGCTGTCAATTACTAGAGGGGACCTGATGGAGAACTTCAGGTCCCCTGTGGGCGGGTGCAATAGCTAGTTTGCTATTGGCTATTGCAAATTGAAATAGCCAATAGGAATGTAGCTGTGCATTCCTATGGTGTTTTTTTTTTATTCTGATGGCAGCCAACGGCTCCGATGTCAAATGACAAAAAAAAAAGACAAAGACAACAGAGGAGGGAAAGGGTTACTCTGCTCGATCGAGCAGAGTAAAACTTTCCCGGAGAAAGTGTTTCTCTCGCGGGCAGCCTGCAGTCGCTATCTAATAGCGGGAGACTCCCAGAGTGTCCGGGAGAGTTGGGCTATCTGGAGATCAGCGTCCCTAGTTACCTGGTAACCAGGGACGCTGATCTGTCTGTGCAAGTGGCCGGAGCCAGCCGTGAGATGATGGCTGGCTCCGCCCAGCAGTCAGTAGCAGGCCGTGCGGCCAGCTTCGGCTTTCACCTCGGCTCAGTCGAGCCGATGCATATGCCTTGGCTCGACTGAGCCACTCGGCCGACTTCGGCAGCTGTACGGGGTATAGTGAATAGCCCGTACAGCAGCCCTTCGGTTCTACTGAACCGAAGGGGTCCTGGGGCCGAAGGATCAGCCGAAGCTACGCCTAGATCCTTAGGCAGCTTAGTGAATAGACCCCTATATTTGACTATTCCCTTTTTTTTTACCGTTCATCCCAGACTTCAGTAGTGCATTCAATGGAATGTGACTTGTGACTCCTCTGTGGCATTTTTTGCAGAAGGTGCTTTGGTGTCAAACAACTATATTGAGGTTTTAGGTTACATTAATGAAAGGAAAACTCACAGGAGATATGTAAACCTCATCCAATATTTGTGCAGCTTCTTACCATTTATGCAGTATTAAAAGTAAGTCATGCTTCAATATTTTGCAACTTTACCAGGTTGTGCCTGAATATGAGCGAATGGTGATATTTCGTATCGGACGGGTAAAACCACCCAAAGGTCCAGGCTTGGTTCTGATTGTCCCGCTTATCGACCAATTTCAGAGAGTAGACATGAGAGCCAGAACATTCAGTATACAGCCCTCTAAGGTGAGTACATGTTTGCAGCTTAGCACTGTAGAGAACTGACATTTCACTGTTCACACACCTACATAGACAGACTGTAGCTTTACAATTTTTACCTCCGTCCCTTGGTGTTTCTCAGGTTTGTCTACTTACTAGGCTGTCATTTCAGTTAAAAGAGCAATGAGATTATACAGTTAGTAGACCACAAAGGTGTTCTGGGAAATTACTGTAGTTTCTGCCAAGTCTAGCGGCATTTACAAAAAAAAGATATATTAAAGGAGAACTATGGGGTTAGGGCTTTTCCCCATAGTTCTCCTTAGGGTAACGGGAGGACACAAACTAGAGCCCTCCCGTTACCCTAAGCTCAGTATACCGGGTGCTACAGCTCGCGGTATACTGAGACGCTAAAGCGGACCCCGACAATTATGTCTGGATCCGCCCAGCTGCGTGAGTGACAGCTGGCTCTGCGTATCTAGAGGCAGAGGCATCTGTACCCTCCCCCGTCCGTTCCACCAGTCAGCGCTGGCGGGTCGGAGCGGGGGGAATCCAGCCCCTCCCCTGTCACGGCAGAGAGCCGTGACAGGATCGAGAGGTGAGTGAACGCCGGTATGTGTTCGCTCACTTCCCGATCTACTGAACCGACCTGTGACAGTCTCATTGTCACAGGTCGGCTAGAACTATGAGGTGAGTGAAAAGCACTCACCTCATAGTTCTCCTTTTTAAAGGTAAACTTTATTCAAGTACTCAAATATACATCAAGTCCTGGAGAAACTACTCCTTCAGCCAGCTCTCTCCTTTTATGTCAACAGCAGGACTGTACTCATGTTGTACCGCAGTTTGACAAAATGGGGCAGCACAGTGACTTAGTGCTTAGCACTAAGTAGGTTATATGAGTTTACTCCGGGTACTTTGGTTTTCTTAGATTGTAAGCTCCTGGTGGGCAGGGACTGATGTGATTGTACATTATGTAAAGCACTGCATAAATTGTTGGCACTATATAAATACCTATAATAAATAAATATAAAAAAGTCATAGATATTTCTTATGCTGCTGGATGAAAGTTTTTATAGAGCCGGAAAACAACTCAGATGTGTTTTTGTGTTACATCTATCAGTCATTGAGGCTTAGCCAACTCACCAAGCAGCATAAGGGCCTGTATTGATGGGTTTTTCCACACATCAGAACTTCATCTCTCCCCATGCAAGTCAACGGGAGTAAAACACAGCTCAGAGCAAGTTGATGCTGCTTAGAAGGCAGTCAAATGCAGGTCAGAAGGAGGTCAACTGCAGATCAAATGCTCCTGTCAATGAACTCTCAATGATTTCAGACGCTTCTTAACCCCTTCACGATCTATGACGGGATAATTCCGCTATGAAATCTGAAGGGGTTACACAGAAAAGTTGCTGGGAGTCTGTTCCGTTTTGTAGAGCCCGCTGTCGGCTTTACAGTAAAAGCGGTAAATAGTACATACAGATAAAAGGGTGTTTGCAAAAACGCCTAACACACTGGGGGAATTTATCATAGCAATTACGATTGTTTGAACTTGCACGGAATATATTTGCACCAGATTTATGATGCTAGTGTAATGTTGTTGATAAATTAGGTTAAAGGAGAATTATGAGGCGGTATACCGCGAGCTATAGCTCGCGGTATACCAAGCTTTGGGTCACAGGAGAATGCTAGTTTGTGTTCTCCTGTGACCCTAAGGAGAACTATGGGGAAAAGCCCTGACCCCATAGTTCTCCTTTAAATAGACTTCAGGAAAGAAGACTTGTAACTTCAGGCAAAAAGCTTAACTGTCGCTTCTTGAAGAAGTGGTCATGGGGACTTAACTTGTGTCTTTCCTTGCGTCCCGGCCGAAAATGTGAATTCCGCATGCGCCAGCCCCAAGATGCTTTGCAGCCGCCCATGCGGTTTCACATTTTCGTACGGGAGCACGCAGGGAACACACAGGTAAACCTCTGTTAAAGCGTTTTTTTTTACTTTTTGCATATATCTACTGCTTGATAGCAGTAGATATATGCAAAACAAACTGAGGGTTTAGAAACCCTTTAAACACATCATCTTAGATTAAATAGGTCCCACAACCTCAGATAAATAGAACTTTGAACATTTCTCATGTGTTGTTAACAATGCTCGGTTATGTTATCACTGAAGACATATGTTTGGTCATATATGCATGTGAGAACAGTTGTTCTCACTGTATTCTGCAGTGGTCAGCTGCTGAAAAATTCCAGTAACTGCTGAACCACTGACCACTGAATTAGCCCTAGATGTTTATTGCATTTTTCCACCACGCACTGAAGGTCACTGGAGCAGCACACTGTTGTGCAGAGACCTTGAATAGAGTGTATACCCCAGATAGCAAGGATAAATTGCTACAAACTTGTGGCAGGGTGAAATTGTAATTTTGTTAACTTGCTGCACACATTTCTAGCAAGTTGTAGACTTGCAGAACACTCGCAGCACAAGTTCTAGTTGACACTTTTTAAATTTGTAGCAAATTTGCTTGGCAAGTGTACAGCAAGAGTCCTGCAGGTCTTAGCAAGAGCTCTGCAAGCTCGCTGGTCCGGAAACTTGCAATGCAGACTTGCTGTAATTGTGCAACAAAATTGTGAAGCTTGGCAAGTCTGTAATAGTTTAGCAAGTCATTTTCAAACTTGCAGCTCAATTGCTTGCTATCTGGGACTTTGTACACTGCCAATAAAATAAAAAAAAACAATCCATGGCACCGCTGCCACCCAGCAGACAGTAGCCATATGCTGAAACTGACTGTTGTAGAGTGTGGCTGGTGTGAACAAGATCTTAATGTCTGATATATCACGATTGTTGGCTGAAGGACAATATTATAAAAGGTAAGTTACATTGATGGGGATTGCTTCAGTTGCTATGTTAAGGGCTGTGGACATGGGCTTTTGTTTGCATCAGAACAGTAATGAGGCCAGAAAGCCGCCTCCATGCTCCCCTGTCACTTGGTGACGAGGGAGCATTGAGCCGGCTGCCCTGACAATCAGAAAGTCAGGAATTGTGTAATGACTCGCTGCCCAGGCTTCCTCAATGGGACTTCCGGTATCGGTATTCAGTATCGGCAAGTACCACAAAAATTAAAAATATTGGTTCTTGTACTTCATACCAAAAACCTGTATCGGTGCATCCTACTTTGGACTTCATGATTAATATATCTGTAAAAAGAAATCCAGCTGCTGTACATTCACTGCAATGATTTGGTTCTCAATGTGCACTGCATTCCTTGTACAAATAAATGTTTGTTTCTAGGTGAAATCTCGAGATGATGTGCTGGTGTCACTGAGAGCAGATGTACACTTCAGGGTATGTGACCCTGTTCTGTCAGTCATGTCTGTCCAGGATCTGAACTTTGTCATTCAGCACACATCAGAGAAACTGCTGGCACAGAGCCTGGGGCGCAAATATTTCAGGGAGATCTATGGAGACCGCGTCCGAATTGCAGAACATCTGAAGGTGAGCAGGCATAAAATCCGTTATATTTTGTCAGACTGACACAAATCTTTTCTGTCAATGCACATGTTTTGTTGGGAAGTTATGATGCTCTGTTGGTGGCCTGCATTACTATGCTATTTTAATAATGTTTATCCATAAGTTGTCATGTTAACAGAATCTCCCCCCTCCTACTGTCAGAATACAATAGCCTGGCGGGGGTATTTCCCTATCCAGGTGTCTCTTCATTGAGCACACAGGGATACGTTTTTCGACCAGATTTAGTCATGTGTAAGTTTTGCATTGCTTGGCACAAGGTTCTTGGGTAGACTGGCAGTGCAATAATAAAATAGGGTAGTTCTAGGAAGGTTAGTACACTGCTTATGGTCTCTCCTGGAAAGTGTACCTAGTGCTTTAACTAGTAGGGAAAAAGCACAGGTTCACTTTAATGTAAATCTTTAAACATTTTTTTATGGTTTAAAAACCGTGTTTGATTATTTGTATATACTCCAGCATAGTGCTCCCTGCTCCCCTTATCTCAGTCCACAGTCAAGGATAGCCATACTTTGTCTAAACGTAATAAAGGGGCTGCCTTTTTCTTGCAGCTTGTGATCTCCACTGATTGCATAAGTGCAGAGCAGCATAACAATCATTGACTTTGGCTCCTAGCAGTCATGACACTGAATTGATCAGGTCTGTGAAGAAGATACTTTACTTCTTCTGACTCCTTGTCTGCAGGGTCAGTTCAGATGCAGACAAGCAAAATGTAAACATTATTTACCTGGCCTTAGCATATGATGATGAATATCACGACACAGGGAAGGAAAAATGCATAGTAGGTTATTGGTATCTTTTGATATGATAAAAGAGCTAATGTTCTTTGAGAAGTAATAGGGTCACCAAAGCACATAGGTCCACTTTATTGATCCGTATTTTATTGAATTTCAGATAAACTTTGTGTCACAAGCAGTCGCAAAACAATGTGACAACAAGTGTAACAAACACAGTGAATATATACATCAGTGATATAACCCTAAACCAATCAGTGGTGATAACCACACCTAGGGCTGTCCCTACCCTACTGCCAAATGAGGCAGTGGTCGGCCACATGAGGCAGAGGCGCCCCTGGGGGGGCAGGGAGGGGTTTGGTTGGCCGCGGTTGTTGATGATAGTGTTGTGGCGGGGGGGGCTTTGCGTTGGATGCTGTGGGACGGCCGTGCTGTCAGCAGCTCTCTGTCTGGTCCCACCCAGCTCTCTGACATCACCGGCTGCCAGGAGCTCGGGGGGATGCCAGACAGGGCGTTCCGCTCAGCTCCCTTGGAACCGATGATGGGATCGTATATGTTTGTGTGTCGCAATGCACTTATGATTGCTTGTGACACTATATTTAGCTGAAATTCAATAAAAAAACCAGATCGATAAAGTGTACCTTTTGAAGCTACAGTTATCCTTTCAAAAAGATTCTAGGAAGCATAAGTAGAAAGGACAGCGGGAGGGGTGAATGGAGAGAATAAAGTGTATATTACATAATTAAATAACTGAACGTCACTTAATGTGCTTCTTCTTGAGCCACTGCTTTGTTGCCTTGGCGGTATGTTTTGGGTCATTGTCATGCTGAAAGACCCATCCACGACCCATCTTCAGTGTTCTGGCTGAGGGAAGGAGATTCTCATCCAAGATTTTACAATACGTGGCCCGTCCATTGGCCCCTCAATGCGGCAAAGTCGGCCTGTACCTTTAGCAGAGAAACAGCCCCAAAGCATAATGTTTCCAACTCTGTGCTTGACTGTAAGGGATGGTGTTCTTAGGGTCATAGTCAGCATTTTTCTACCTCCAAACACGGCGAGTCGAGTTAATGGCAAAGAGCTCAATTTTGGTCTCATCTGACCGCAGCACTTTCTCCCAATCCTTCTCTGAATCATTTAGATGTTCATTGGCAAACTTCAGACGGGCCTGTACATGTGCCTTCTTGAGGAGGGGGACCTTGCGGGCGGTGCAGGATCTCAATCCATGGCGGTGTATTGTGTTACCAATGGTTTGTTTTGTGACTGTGGTCCCAGCTGCCTTGAGGTCATTCACAAGCTCCTCCTGTGTAGTTCTGGGCTGATCCCTCACTTTACTTTTCTCATGATCATCCTTACCCCATGAGGCAAAATCTTGCATGGAGCTCCAGCCAGGGGGTGATTGATGGTTATTTTGTATTCATACTATTTGCAAATAATCGCTCCAACAGTTGTTTCCTTCTCACCAAGCTTCTTGCTGATAGTCTTGTCCTTTGACAGCTCTTTGGTCTTGCCCATGGTGGTGAGGATTGAATGGAAGAAAGAGATTACGTGGACAGGTGTCTTTTATATACATGACGAGTTGTTGTTAGGAGCACCTTCTTAAATTGACAGGACTAATCTGTGTACCACATAGCCAGTCTGTGGGAGGAGCCAGAATTATTGTTGGCGGGTAGGGGATCAAATACTTATTTTACTCACTGAACTGCAACTCAATTTATAACATTTGTATCATGTGTGTTTTATAACCCTGAGCCACACTGGGGATTACAGTCTCTTACCTTGTCAACGATCACCGCAGTGTCCTCCATCTTCCGGGTTCCGTCCTTCAGCTACATACAGTATACCGCTCTGAGTCAATCACGGCAGGCTCTGTATTCCTTAATACAAAGCCTGCCGTGATTGACTCAGTGCTGAGCCAATCACGGCAGGCTTTGTATTCATTAATACAGGCTTTGTATTAATGAATACAAAGCCTGGTCTGATTGGCTCAGAGCGGTATACAGTATACCCGGCGTATAAGACGACCCCCGATTTTCGGGCGATGTTTTTGGGTCTAAAAACCCGTCTTAGAAGTCGGCAAATACGGTACACCTATGATAAAATTATAGACCTTTCATTTCTTTGTAAGTGGGCAAACTTACAAAATCTGCAGGGGATCAAATAACTATGTTCCTCACTGTATATACAGGATCAGTAGGAGGGTATTAGTAGTAAACCTACTTAAGTCTGTGATGTTTGATTAACTCTCTCTACTTCCTGCATCACCCATCATTTTTAGTCGTCCAAGGTAGGTCAGAATCTGATGAGGAGCTGTGAGGAAATTTATAATACAGAATTTTTTAAGGCAGCAAGTAGTGTGTTCCAGCATCATGAGCAGGTGTCTTCCAGGATCACCAGATTACAGACAAAATTAAGTGGGGTGGACTGGTCACAGCACAGCAATGTCTGGGTGATAAAACTAGGCAGTGCTCCCTGTAGGTCAAGGTTTATTTTTTTTATTTTGACTTTTATTTTGACTGGAATGTAACTTTATTAATTTGCCCCTAAGTGCTCTTTATTAAACATAGCTTTTGGTCTTTGGCAACAGGTGGCACAGATGTTGCTGGCCTGTCTCTGTGGGAGAGGTAATAAACAGACAGGTTAGAAAAACTGTACAAAGCAGAATAGTTCCCCCAATAGGCTGGGGGTGACAGGGACCTCTTCCGCTTGTGTCTTCCTCTGTTCTTTGAAAAAAAAAAACGTATGAGCCAGACAGAGCCAAGGTTGCCAGTTTTTGGAGAGCTTTGCAGCACTCCAAAAACTTTGACCTTGAGGGCAGCTTGATTGTGCCTCTTATGTCACAATATGTCTATGGGGCTCCTTATACTTTACCTAGAAAGAGAGGAAGGCAACATATTCACTGGACATTAGTAAACTTGTCAGAATTCTTTTCTTTTGTGCAGGCAGAGTGTACGCTGTATCAAGTGGCTAATGCTGTTCTTGGGGAGCATCGACTGGCTATGTGAAACTTTGTATAAACGGCTTGGAGATAGTTATCAGCAGTACTTGTTTCTCTTCTGACTTTACAGATCACTTTAATATTTCCTTCCCATGTATTACAGGAAGATATTAATGAACAGGTAAAGGTATATGGGGTGTTTATTGACCACACAGAGCTGCAGCTGGAAGCTGTCCTACTATCCCATGAAGAACATGTGAATGTTCCCATCACCCCACCTGCTTTTGGCTCCCATGGTGGATTGGAGCAAATGGTTGCACAGCTTGTGTCACTAGCCAAGCAAACTGTAACAACAGGCTCATTGCCATCTCCAGGTGAGGAGCTTTAGTTATGCAGAGTTTAAGGGAGGCTGCATTATACATAATTTATAGGAAAATATACATTCATGAGCAAGAAACACCTTGAATGAAAAAATGCAGATTAACTCATAAATTTAGTCTGAGCTTTCTTACAATTGTTGAAAAATCCATTTAAGGATGACAGGTAATCCAGCATATTATTTTAAATCAAACTTTATTTGAATATGCATCAAAAACATGCCTGATAATGAATCTTATTTGAAACAATTGTCATGCTGGGAATGAACATCATAAAAAAACTGATCAGCATTTACACAAAAACAGTCTTAGCAAGAACAACTCTTACACCCTTAAAAGAGAAGTGAACCCAAACCTATTTTGGTTTTACTTCTCTTGGGTTACAGGATTACATTTACTTATGCGCTCTTGTGAGCCAAAGTCAGCATATAGCGGGCTGCTGCCAACTGTAAGCTGACAGCGCAGAACCGCACTGCAGCCGGGAAGGATCCCAACAATATTATCAGAATCCACCCACTGTCTGATTGACAGCTGGCTCTGCCTCTCTAGAGCCAGAGCTGGTTGTGGTTGCCCCCTTCCCTCTCTGTCCCTCCAATTAGCACTGGAGGAACAGAGAGTGGAGGGGAGAATCCCTGTGGGGAGGGCTGACTGACAGTCCTTGGTCTCTGGAGGGAGGAGACCATGAGCTGAGCAATCAGTGGTTAATGATCTCCCAGCTCTCAGTATATAGAGCTTGTATGTGAGAGCTGCGGTGTCGAATGCTGGCTCTAAATATTAGGAACAGAATATTTTACTCTTCCATTACCTAAAATGTCATTTTCCAAAATAATTTATGTCTGTTAGAGAGACCTGGGAAGGCTAGTAATTAATTCACTTGTATAATTCTTATCCTGAACAGCTCTATGGCCAGTAGGCCAGTGTGTTTAAAACATATCTAAACCCAATTACAAAAATGTAATTATGTTGCAGGTTATCAGTCCTCAGATGTGGTGACTGTATTAGTTTCCTTTATTTTCACCTGGTGATTCTGCCAGTAACACACTATGTTGTTGTCCTTGGGTGACAACACTCACTTACCCTTCTGTATCAAGACAACAGAAACAATGACTATGGTGCCCTGCCCTTCTGCTATCGTCCATAACATAGAGGGGTGTGGTTCTGTCGTTCTCAGAGCTAAGAACAATGTAACAGGTAACAGTCAACACAGGCAATTCAAACAGATATATATATACCAAAACGCTTTCAATTGTATAATTAAGGGACCAACTAAGAGAAGTTCATTGTTAGGCTATAGATACCTTTACAGGGATTGTTTAGTGGGTTTTCATATATTTTCTTTTATTAATGGGATTTTACAAATATTTTTCTTTTTTGGGGTCGTGCAAATATGAAATATTGCAAATAAATATGTTGTTATTATCAAAACGCAGCCAGCAGGTGGAACACTTGTTTCCTTTTCAGATGTTTAGGTGTCTATCTTTGGCAAGTTTGCTTAAAAGAAATCTGTTGAGATCTGAGTAAATGTGCCCATATACCTGCCGATTATCGTACATTAATCGTGGGTGATCCCGCGATCGTACGATAATCGTCAGGTGTATGAAAGCGTGCAACCGTTTCTACTGTACGGTCGCACGTCTTTTGTCTGGCGAGCACGATGGAAAACCTGCCGAAAATCTTAAGATTTTCGGCAGGTTAGTGGCGTGCTCGGAAGACAAATGCAGAATGGGCCGGTGTGCACACTGCCCGCTCAGCATTGCAGTCATCGGAAGCCCTCCCCTCAGCGGGGCAGGTTTGTGATGATCGCAAGTACGATCTGCCTGTCCAAGATGGGCAGATCGTACAAACTTTTAATTACCTTACAACCATCGCACGATAAAAGTCGTGCGATGGTTGTAAAGTGTATGGCCAGCTTAACTGTGGTCAGTGTTTTGTTCTATTGTTCAGCAGCAGTAGGCTCCAAGTCTCAAAAACAGCGTATATAAATTGGGATGCACCGATACATTATAAAAGAGAAAGCATGTAAAAATCTGAGAGTCACATCAAAAAGGACTTTAAACACTCTCATAGTAACTCACATAAACTTTCCCTTTAAATGCAGATTGGTAACTTTATTATAGATTTAAAAAGGAACATCATTAATGGAAGGGAGTACTTTCACTTGCTTATCACTTCACAAGTAATGCATCTCCCTACCAAATCTTCCCAAGGTCATCACATCAATTATGAGTGTTCATCCTGCTGGCCATGACATTGACTGACCCGCTGTTATCTCTCACACACTCTTGCCAAAAAAGCGTTTCCTTATAGTTCTTGATTTATGAGGAACCTTCATTGTCCTGGAATACTCTGATGGTCTAATAAATAGTCAGTGAGATAGTGTATGGAAAACATGAGTTACTGGAACAGCTATTTAACCACTTCATGTCCAAAGCTTAGCCTGTTTGTCATAGGTAAAAAGTAAAACGCAAAACCATGTCCTTATTGTTTTCAGATATTTAATCACTGGGGGGAAACTGATTAGAGAAATATGGAGGCTTCTATTACTGACAACCTTGCAAAACTAAAGCTGTCTATACACTAGCAGAACTTTTGGGGTCAAACTGCGGGCTGAATGAAAGGAATATAACAGATTCATCCATCCAGCTGCTAGGCTGTTGTATTCTGACAGTGGCGGGCGTGCCTTCTCTCAGAATACCCGAAAAGTGATGGTAGCTGATTGGCTGCCATCACTGAATGGCTGGAAATGTTCCTAATGCCTCCTTTGAATTTCTGATTAAAGGATGCTGGTTGGAAGAGTGCCGACAGGGCCACCCACTGAATTAATTTTGGCCGCTTCTTCAAGATGGCCAGCCTAACAGTTTCCGAGTATGTAGATAAGAAGGTCTTACTTTACTGGTGGCATACACATTGCAGCTGAGTGGCTCAAAATGTTTTGGATTAGGAGGATTTATTTTTCAAAAGGAGGTCAACAGTGGCAGCATTCATATTTCACTCATCACAGGTTTTCCTTTAAGGAAAAATAAAGGGATCTGGAACAATGAATATAGTGTTAGGACAGGTTTACCTAGTGACAGAGGTGTCTGCACCATGCTTCCCCCATCTTGCTCTGTAGGCCTCAACGCAAACAATAGCTGGATGTGCTGGCCACCACAACCAACCATTCTTTGTGTCTATGGGCAGCTTACAGGTACTGCATTGCCTTACCAACATTTAATCTAACCATCCCTTCATTAATCTTTCTCTGTGTCATAGTGACAGTTGGCTGGGCAGTTCAGCTCTGACATCACTTGCCTGCATGAATGGCCTCATTTTAGGATATATTAACAAGTAAATTGTTGGGATTCAGACCAGCTAGATGTTTATAGAAAACCTGTGATAAGAAATATGTAGGCTGACATTGCTGGCCTCCTTCTGAAAACGCTAGCTGCCTGACAAAAACTGATACAGATTGGTAAAGCCAGTGTCACGTCAGAAATCCTAATCTGTGTACTTGTCTGGGTCTATGACTTGGGAAGTACTGAAGCTAGAGGATCAGCATGTTAAACTGGCTATTACCTGCTTGAATTTTTGCTAAGTCCTCTGGCACCCCTCTTCATTCAGGCCCCAAAGTTCTTGGCTGAACAGCGAATGCTGTGAATCCACTGCAGTCACTATTTGGGTATTCTGATAGTGGTACACCCATGCCTGGCAGGGAGGGGAGTGACTCCCCTGTCCAGGCTGTTTAGTATGGATGGGGAAATCAATAATTTTTTCATGTTCAGCCCTAAGAAAAAATGCACAGCATATGGCCTGCTTTAGCCAGTGTGCTAGTATAGTTAGAAGAAGAGGCCAGCCTTCATACTTCCTCAGTAAAAAAAAATTTCTTTACATTTATACTTGTACAACATTCACTTACAACAAATGAGATGCTCATTTTGCATTTGGGGTAGAGCTGAGCCCAAGAGTTTTAGGTGCTTCTCCAGATCACAGCATCAAATGTCTATAATCTGCATCCTTACAGATGTTCTGTTTTTCTGATGGTATGGTATTTCTGCACCTGTAATTTAAAGAGATCCGTCATAAATGGATGCTGCCATTCTCTGATTTCTGGGCTCTTTTCTAGTTCTGTTGTTTTCACTTGCAGTGCCGCTAAGAGAGTCAGAGATAAGCAGCTTCCATCTAAGGGATTTCACAAGATCATAAGATTCCATTAAAAGGTCTAGTAAATGACCATGTCCTATATAGGAAGCATTTCTAACAAAGTACACCTGTCAGCCATAATGTTTAAAAATAAAGGATATCATCACTTTGAACAGTAAAAACAGAAAATTGAAAGTCTTGTATTCTATGTAAACAAGAACCACACACAATGTCGCTCTTACCTTTATTTACAAAAGTGTTCCTCTCTTAACTAGTTTTACTTCATTGCCAAGGGTTTGGCTGCAGAGCTCCCTTCCTTTTTCCTGTTCCATATTCCTTATTTGCCCCTCAAGCTCACTTATTGGGGGGGGTCACAATGGTTAAGGCTTAAGGTCCCCACACACCTTACGATAATCGTACGATAATCGCGGGAAATCCCGCAATCGTACGATTATCGTAAGGTGTGTGGAAGCCGTGCGACCTCTACTACTGTAAGGTCGCACGACTTTTAACTTACGGACATGTTCGAAAACCCGCCGAGCATCGTACGATGTTCGGCGGGTTTGTGGCATGTTCGTACGATAAAAGCCGTACGGGCCGGTGTGCGCAAGCGCACACTGCCCGTTCGGCATTGCGGTCATCGGAAGCCCGCCCCTCAGGGGGCGTGGCTTGCGATCATCGCAAGTACGATCTGCCTATGCAAGATAGGCAGATCGTACGTTTTTTAAAGTACCTTACAACCATCGCAAGACAAAATCTTGCGATGGTTGTAAGGTGTGTGCCCAGCCTTAGTCCCACAGTCATTATTTTATTAAGAAAGTGAAACCAGGATCAGGATCTTCAGCTCCTAGCATTGAATGTGGAATTTAATGGGGAATTTTAAAGCAAATGAGTTGCTTTGTCCTGAATGGGCAAAGAACAGGTTTGCATTAAGCATGGGATGGACCTTGGTGCAATGAAAACTCAGTATGCAGTAGTATAGTATCTACTTGGCCTTATGATCAGCATTTATTATGCATAGGAGAGGTGATAACTCAGTTATATTGTACAAAACAGATCTCTTCTCTGTTTCAGTTGCTGATTTCACATTACAGCAAATGGATTTCCAGCTGAAAGGGATCCTTTCAGAATCACTGGTCTCTGAAGTGGGTGCCTGCTATCAGCTGTATGTAACTGTGCATAGTGGCGAGAACATTTCCTATTTTATTGACCTCACATCAGGTAATGATTCTGTATGCATGATGCTGACATTTATATATTTTTTTTTCCTTCCCCGGTTCCTACTTTCCTCCCCACATCAACATGCGAATTACCTTTTTAAGTGAAACCTCATTTTATACCCAGTGATGTCATCATCTCTGCAATACAGGCAGATCATAGCTGATGGGAGGGGCCAGTACATGGCTTCCTGAAAACATCACAGGAACCTGCTTCAGTACTCCTCTCAAGAGCCCCACAGCCCTGATACAAGCAGAGGGCTGGATCTTAGGAGGCAAATATCAAAATATTTTGATGGGTGGATATCTGTCTGGAGGAATGGGCGTTCCTAGGCAGGCTGCATCCCTGTGGTAACGCCTTCATGTGATGCTGAAATTCCATGATTAACAAACTGAAATCCAATGAATGAAAGGGGTGGGCTAGGGATAGTCAGGCTAAGAGTTAGATGATGCTGGATGTCCCCCAGCCAGTTAAAGAGGTAGCTTAATCTGATTTGTTGCAGCTTTTAATGCAAACTTTGAAAAGCTCACTGTGTGCAGTGAATTCAGTACCGGAGAGGAGCCTGTACAACTGTGCAAGACTGAAGGAAAGGCTGGAGTTTAGGGCTAGTTCACACCATAAACAGTGCGTTCCGGCCCGATTTGGGACTAATAAGTGCCTGCGGTCTGGTCCAGTGTGGGCAGAAAAAATGCTGCATGCACAATTTTTTTTGACCGAACCAGAACGGGCGGGCGATCGCACTGAGGCCAGGGGCGTGGCTGCAGTGCCATTGACTTCAATGCACTGCCACGCCCCCTCCCGCCCCTAAAACGCAGGGAGGTGGCTGGGATCCGATACAGTGCGTTCTGGAACCAGATCAGGCCGGAAATGCACTGTTTGTGGGGTGAACTAGCCCTCAACTACTCTACAGTGTAGGAGAATATGAGCTAAATGTCTGTTCTGTTTGTTATTCTGTGTGCTTCATTGTCTGTTTGATCGCTCTTTTATTTTCACCCGCTGTTTTCTTCAAGGGTCAGTAAAATCAATGGCTGATAATGTAGTTTTTTGGGAGATAGGGAGAGTCTTTGGGGTTTTTATTATCTCTCGGGGACAGCAGTGATGAGCTTGCTGTCTTTAAGGTGCCTGAATGTTACAGCAATAGTTCATTTTTGTAATACTTACAAGCCCCCCCTGGCACTGTTAGTGCCCCATTACACCACAATGCCCTGCACCACAAAATATGCATTTCCATGTATTATGCATGCACTGTTTTAGGACACTCTACAAAAAATGAGCTGCAATGCCCCTCAACACATACAGAAAGAGGGCTTGCTGCATTGATGTACCTCAACACATGCAGAAAGAGGGCTTGCTGCATTGGTGCACCTCAACACATACAGAAAGAAGGCTTGCTGCATTGATGTACCTCAACACATGCAGAAAGAGGGCTTGCTGCATTGATGAACCTCAACACATGCAGAAAGAGGGCTTGCTGCATTGGTGCACCTCAACACATACAGAAAGAGGGCTTGCTGCATTGGTGCACCTCAACACATACAGAAAGAGGGCTTGCTGCATTGATGCACCTCAACACATACAGAAAGAGGGCTTGCTGCATTGATGCACCTCAACACATACAGAAAGAGGGCTTGTTGCGTGGTGTCGTTAAACATGAATGCCACCACAATGCACGTATTGTCGCACATTGCCAGAAAGTGCTAATTTTACAGCTGTTTACCACAACGGCCTGGTGTGAGCAGGTCCTTGTGGATTGTCCCAACAATGGTCTCTGTTACTAGACTGCATGCAATTATGAAAGTCATTTTGGTTCTAAGTTCCAGTGTCTGTATATCTGTTGCAGGAACTATGACAGACTTCACCTTTCCCTATTGGATTTTTAATTCATTATACTATGTACCATGAAATTGGGATTGGGAACACATGGGACTCTCCCTTTGTGGCAGAAAATTGAGAGATTCCAAGTTAGGCAGTATCTATGACGGGTAGATCAGTCCCACAGGGACATAAGATGCTAGTGGGAGAGTACAACCGCCATACTTCACCTCCAACTACAATATCTGGCTTGAAGTGACTTTCTGTAAATTCTAATCAGTCCTTTTTTTTTTTTTTTTTTACAGGGTCTGGCAGTTTTGGTGGGGGGGTTTTTCCTGGAACCCCTGATGTCACTCTAGAGATGACAGAAGCTGATCTCATGTGTCTCATTAAAGGAGATTTGAGTCCTTTGACTGCATATACAACAGGCCGCTTACGTGTTGTAGGAGATCTGAGGACTGCTTTACAGCTGGAGAAGGTTTTACAGAGGATAGCAGAGAGATAACATGAATGTTTTACTATTTATGTTTACTTAGTTTGCTATTTTATTCTTGAACTTTATTAAACATAGAATATTATTATTTTGGACTTTTCTATAAAATTAATTACACTCCTTTCTAAATTAGATATAAGCCTGGGCTTGGTTTGCCTAGGATCACCCAAGCCTGCTGAACAAATTTGACGTCCACTTCTCCCTCACGGCTCAATCAGTGGCAACGGGCAATTCTGCCCGTTTATAACTATGGGGCAGGTGAAGTACCTTTCTGCAAATGATTTGGGTGGGGAGGGGGCGGCAGTCACATCTGAGTACTTTGGATCAATCTGTTACAGAAAAAAAACAGTATCCAAGAGGCATTTATGTTGATAAGACTATTTTGTATGAATGTGGATGTTGAAATCTAATCAATAAATAGCCACCATTAATATTCCATTGAGTCTTTAAACGTATCTTAAATGCTTCCAGGAGTAGCCAGGTATGTATGTAAAGTAAAGCATCACTATCTGTAAATCAGTCTTTTAAAATATGGACAAATGGGATATCACCAGAGGTTCAAAATCAAATCTAAAGACCCCAGTACAAGACAAGTGCGGAAAACATCCATTCTGAAACACAATGGGTTTATTGAATAACATGTTACATTAGTCACGTCAGTTAAATCAATATAAGATCTCCATATTTTCCTGAGGACTCTCATTTCTACAAACTCTCCATTGAATTTTTTTCTAGGCTGTTGTAGATGTTGATCATTTTATGAGGCCAGTGGGATTACAGAAACATTTTTAATGGAGTGTTCAAGGGAATCTGAGGCTAAAGATGAATTGTGTAATATATTTATGAAACAGATTGGTGTACAGCTTGCAAACATCTGAGGTACAATTGGTATCTGTTCACGAGATTTAAAGCCTTTCTCCAGGTTAAAAGAACCTGATCCTCGCTCACCTCTCTCAAGGACTGTCCCATGGCGACTTCACATATAATGCAGGGCATTACGAGTGATGTCAGCGGGTCTCTGACTGCTGGAACTTACGGGGAAAGAGGATGCGGGCACCAGTGTCAGAGCCTGCTCATGTGGGGATCAGGTGAGTAAAAGTCCTTTTACACTACACGAGTTCCCTAGACAAAAAGTAGTAATTAACCCTTGCAGTGCGGGGGGAGCCCCTCCCCAAAGGGAGTTTTTTTTATTTGGTACTCTGAGAAAAACTGTAAATATGTAGATATCCCTATTAGTTTTAGTATGACAAAGATTCTTATCAGCCTGAGTCACACAATAATATAATGGATAATTTCTAAGAAATGACTGAGAATGAGCTTACTGTCCTATGACTGTACAGACATGATTTCTTAGAACAATCTGACACTCACAGAAAAATTGGTTGTAAATAAATCTTCAGTCTTATATGACCATATTCATCTGCATTCCGGATAAAACAAAAAGATTGTAATTATGTATGCTCTAGATTAGCCTTTCTCAAACTGGGGTGCTGCCTGGGTTTGTCAGGGGTGCCATCAAAAATGAATTAAAATTCCCCCCAAAAAATTCCTGGCCATTTCAAAGTGACTTTTTCCAGTGTGACTAGTTGGCATGGTTGGTGCTCTATAACAACCAAAGACGCTGTGTGGGTTAGCCGCCAGCCTTCTAGCAAACATTGATGTCATCGGTTGCTAGAATGCAAGAAGCCGACTAGCACAGCGTCCTTGGTTGCCCCTGCCCCTCACCGTGTACTACAGTGTCTGGAATGTCAGCCCAGAATCCTGTACATTTTAGCACTGCGTTTTTTCCATCCTGCACACTTATTTAAAAAAAAACGTTTTCTGGCCATCATCACTTTTAATATTTCCTAAAGTGGCATGCGCTTCCTTAAGAGGCACTGCATCAGATCACACAGATCTGATGTGAAGGGGGGACTGAGGACTCTGATATGAAGGGGGGACTCTGATGTAAAACAGGGGCATCCTGATGTGATGTGACGGGGGGAACTTTGATAAAAGAGAGGGACTCTGATGTGACATAGGGGGACTCTGATTTGAAAGGAAACACTGATGTAAAAGAGAGGGACTCTGGTGTGACAGGGAGGGTGGACTCTGATGTGAAAGGGAGGGGGGACTCTGATGTAAAGAGAGGGACTCTGATGTGACATAGGGGGACTCTGATTTGAAAGGGAACACTGATGTAAAAGAGAGGGACTCTGGTGTGACAGGGAGGGTGGACTCTGATGTAAAAGGGAGGGGGGACTCTGATGTAAAGAGAGGGACTCTGATGTGACATGGGGGAACTCTGATGTAAAACAGGGGGACTCTGATGTAAAAGGGAGGGACTCTGATGTGACAGGGAAGGGGGACTCTGATGTGACGGGGGATGACTGATATAAAACAGGGGGACTCTGATATTAAAGGGGAAACTCTGATGTAAAATAGGGGGATTCTGATGTGAAAGGGGGAACACTAATTTAAAACAAGGGGTACTCTAATGTGAAAGGGGGGATGGGACTCTGTTGTGAAGGGGGCTCCTGATATGAAGGGGGTACCCCGATGTAAAAGAGGGGACTCTAATGTGAAAAAGAGTGGACTCTGATGTGAAAGAGGGGACTTTGATGTAAAGAGGAACTCTGAGGTGAAGGCAGCTCCCATATGTAAAGGTGGAGACTTCCGTGAAGGGGGGACCCCATTTTAGACTGGGGTGCCTTGAGATTTTGCAAAGAGCGTTCCCCAGTAAGGACGATACTTATTCTTGAAACACAGTTGTCTAAACACACTTTCGGCCACTGAGACATTTACTATCCTGTTTAGTTTTTTCCACTGCCAGCTCAAGTCCCTCCAGGTGCTGGGACTCTGTAGCCCCACAGGAGCGATGTGCTGCTGTGTACATTACAAATAGCAGATACCTTTCTTCATCCTCCAGGGTAGTCCGAAAGGGACCAGAGCAGATGCAGCACGTCTTTCTGAAATAATAAACATGTAGCTCTTGGTTGCTAAACAACTGATGTTGCCATCCCTGTTATCACGCTCAAAGCACCACAGCACTAACAATGTTAAGTCAATACATTTAATAATCAACTATTTTACATTCAACACGTCTTCTGTCATGTGAAGGGGGGACTCTGATGTGAAAAGGGGAACTCTGATGTAAAAGGGAACTCTGATGTGGAAGGGAACTCTGATGTGAAAGGGAACTCTGATGTGAAAGGGGGAATGTAAAATATTGGAACTCTGATGTGAAAGGGGGGAATGTAAATGATTAGGAATCTGATGAGGAAGGACCCTAATGTAAAATATTGGGACTGTGATATGAAAGGGGAACTGAGGACTCTGATGTGAAGGTGGGACACTGATATTAAGAGGGGCACACTGATGTAAAGGGGAATTAATAAATAATCAACTATTTTACATTCAACCCCATCTCCTCTCCTTTTTTTGGGATAAGCAGGGAAGGGCTAAAAACTCTGCCTGGTTTTCATTACTGCCCACGTACCCTTTTGGGGGATTTCTTGCTGGAGTGATGGGATATCACAGTGACATTCCCATTATTTTTTGTTCTCGAGTCACAAGGATAAAAAGTCAGAGAAAATATCCCCAATGGATTCACAGACAACAACAAACGAGTAAAAAAAGAAAACATTATTTGACTGGATTTGGACTTTGGCAAGTCATAAAGTGGTGAGATACCTTTGTTTTAGACCTGCTTTGGCCAATATAAGAACCACATTCTCCCTGTTGGATTTTTTATGTTGTTTTTGTTTATTTCATGGAGAATGTAATGTGAGGAGCAAGAAAACCTCAATGTTGTCAGGTAGTAAGACACCAAAGTGGATTTGAACAGAGTTGGGAAATTCCTTTGCTAGCATCCCCAAGTGTTTTTATAAGCCAGTGGGTGGCTTAGCCCCAACACACTCCACCTATATCTGAAGCAACACCATTGGGCTGGAGGGTGTGCTGTGTGTTGGGTCCTTGCATTGCACCATAACGCACAGTAATGCACTCACATGCATATATTGTCACACATTGCCAAAAATCACTAATTTTGCAGCTTGTTACCTCAACGGCCAGCAGGTCCTTGTAGATTGTCCCAACAATGGTCACTGTCACCGGACTGCATGCAATTATGAAAGGTTTTGGTTCTAAGTTCCAGTGTCTGTACATCTGCTGCAGGAACTATGACAGGCTTCACCTTTCCCTATTGGATTTTTAATTCATTATACTATGTACCATGAAATGGGGATTGGGAACACACAAGACCCTCCCTTTCTGGCAGGAAATTGAGAGATTCCAAGTTAGGCAGTATCTTGGTAGGCAGTATCTATGACGGGTAGATCAGTCCCCATGGGATATAAGATGCTAGTGGGAGAGTACACCCGCCATACTTCACCTACAACTACAATATCTGGGTTGAAGGGGATTTCTGTAAATTCTAATAAGCCAGTGGGTGGCTTAGCCCAAACCCCAACTACCTTTATCTGAAGCAACACCGTTAGGCTGGAGGGTGTGCTGTGTGTTGGGATCCCTGCATTACACCATAACGCACAGTAATGCACTAACATGCATTGTAGTGCACTGCATTGCAAAAATAAAAGATACATGTCCATTTTTTTGTCCTTTCTGGTGCAATGACAGTCCGTTAATTAGATTTGACTGCCTTATTACAATGCATGTTAATGCACACATGTTATATTGTACCAGAACGGACTGTTGTGAATCCAGCCTGGGGCTAGATTTGCGCTTGAGCGTTGGCTTTTTTTTTTTTTATGTACTTTTTATGCGCATTTATGCACACGTTTTCATTCAGGTTTGATGCATTTTTTGGCAATAAGCATTTTTGTTTAGACCATTTGAAAGCAGGTTACAATAAGGAGAAAAACACATGGAAAACATGTGTTCAACTCCTGTACTTCTTTGGCAGATCTAAACGGGCCTGAGAAAATAAAAATGGAAATCTTGTTTTGAGCGTTGTCGTGCTTCTGAAAAACTGCTTCAAATCGCTCAGGCGTTAATGTGGGCTTAAGGTCGCTGATGTTTTTATTGTAAATGAAACACAACGATTTTCTTTATTATAAATGAAAACATAAAAAGTATCCTACACACCACTA